CCGACACGGAAAACAAAGCACACGATTATAGTGAGATTAATTAAGTATTAGCGAGCAAAACGTGAAAAATGGATGAATATAGTTTTTTAAGCAACTTTCATTTATAAAACTTTTGCAAAAAAAATACACCATTTAGTAGTTTGAAATGCATGCGCGCGGAAAACGAGAAGAGTGAATTGCGAAAGAGGGGAAAAGAACACAGCCTTAGGGGTGTTTAGATCCACGGGAGTAAAGTTTTGGCGTGTCACATCAGGTATTATATAGGGTGTTACATAGGATGTTCGGACACTAATAAAAAAACTAATAACAGAATCCGTCAGTAAAACGCGAGACGAATTTATTAAGCCTAATTAATCCGTCATTAGCAAATGTTTACTGTAGCACCACATTGTCAAATCATAGAGCAATTAGGCTTAAAAGATTCGTCTCATAAATTAGTCGCAATCTGTGCCGTTAATTATTTTTTTAGCCTATATTTAATCCTTCATACAGATGTTCAAACATTTGATATTACAGGGTGAAAAAATTTAGATAGGATCTAAACATGGCCTTAGTCTACAGCTTGTAAAAGTACGTGCACAGCTAACTGATAGTTAAGAAAAAAACCTGGCAACTGTTAATTAAATAACGAAGCTGAAATTAATTAAGGGGCATAATTTAACTCTGTAGTTAATTACCTGCTAACTTGTTTAACTTCTGCTCATTCACAAGAGGATATATACAGTATGCAATACTGTAGAGTACGGAGTACTCATTAATTAGCCGCGCTGAACTGAAGTCGGTGCAAAACCCCTTTGCTTTAATTTGGGTGAACTAGTTTTGATTGATAACAATCACTGTCGTTTTATGCGTGGTGTGGGCATGATCACAAGGAATTTAATTTGCTTCTTTCTCTTCTATATAAATACGTTTGCACAATATTTGATTGCGAAGAGATCTAAATTAATAATCCAAGAGAACATGCAGACGTATACATGACTGGACTTTTACGGTGACTACAACTTAGAACACGATACGCTGAAAATGATCAGCACAATAGCAGGATTCGATTCTAGGTTGCTTCATATATATGCATGTCACATCAATACAGATTGGATATTTTCAAAGTGCATTGAACAGTAGCACACACGTCTTAATTAATATCAGTAAGATATGGAGTATATACGAACAGTACTGTAACACTAGTGTATCTTGATCTCTTTCGGTCTTTGCGTATCTAAAATGGTCATCAACATCTGTTAACGCCGATCGAATTGGACAGCAACCAGGCCAACATGGATGCAATCGAGTAGTTTAAACGAAATGATTCTTTATATATATATGTTGTTGTTCGATATGTTATCTTTTGTTATACTCCATATGCATGTACAATATATATAATGGTTTGTTTGATAGAGCTCCACTGATTTTTGAAAATCTGTCAGATTTCTTAATTAGAAAAAAACATGGGAGCATGATTTTTTTTTTGATTTCATGTTGTTTGAATCTGCCCATATATGCAGATCGTGCGGAGCTAGCTAGGCATATGGCATATTTAGGGCTTGATTGGAGCCCTATACGTGGCTCAAAAGCTCCATTTAAATCCTTTACAAAGTGCATAAAATTTTAAAAATATATAACGTCTAATTAAAATTGACTAATATAATTCAGCGAAGGATTGGCCATTTTCTGGTTCCGCCTCTCGTCATAAGCATTTATACGATACTCCTACTTACATTCACTGCCTCCAATAAGCCAATACTTACTCTGTTTTAAAATGTAAAGATATTTTAGTTTGTTCTGAACTGAATCAAAATTTTCTTTAAATTTAATCAGGTTTATATATATATATATATATAAAAGCTTTGAAGCATTGCATACGAGGTCGGATCAAATCACCAAAACTTCAGCCATGCGGAGCCCCACTGACAGATCGGCACACATATTACTACCTCCGTTCTAAAATAAGTGCAGCCACAAGTTTCCGCGTCCAACTTTAATCATCCGTCTTATTTGAATTTTTTTATAATTAACATTTTTGTTGTTATAAGATGATAAAACATAAATAATATTTTACTCATGACTTATGTTTTTATTTTTTTTAAAATTTTTTCAAATAAGACGAACAGTCAAAGTTAGACACGGAAAATCATGGCTACACTTATTTTGGGACGAAGGGAGCACCGTCGATTTTTTTCCCCTGTTACCTCGACGTAGGAACATGTGCCTCCTGTTGCTCGTCTGAAAAAAGATTGGAACAAACAACGTAGTACTGTGCATAGCCACAGGGGCAGCCTTTCTTGCAATTCTTGTGAGTTTCTGTCCTCCCAAAGGACTTCTAATCATGGTGTATAATGATTAATTAATATACTGACCAGTTTGCAAAATTCAGAAATGTACTAGTATATTGTTTACTGCAAACCACGATATCCGTACATGTACTGAACTGCTGATGATGGTGAAGATCAGGCTTTGCAGTTGGGGTCAAGTTGATTTTGCATGCATATAGGACAATTTATACTGACATTCTGATGCATGTAGCACTAACTTAAAATGTGTGCATGACGAGCGCGATACAGCCGATACTTACTGTTCGCCAATTTTCACATGTTTTTGGAAAGAACACATCGCGCATGAAATTATTCCTTTACATTTGAGGTACAATATGTAAGTATATACTCATTAATTTTTTTACAATACCAAATTAATTAAGGATTTACCCTTGCATGCACGCAGGCAATATTCAGCTTCTAATTAGCTGATCAGAAACATGCATATGCAATGGTGTATATAGTATTTGGACAAGTGCTGTTCTGTCTAGTTTTTCTTCCATCCTTGTTTAATCATCACCTAAGGAAAAGCGCAGAAACCGAGGATAACACAATTTTCATCATTCTAAAATTAATCCTCATTGGTTAAGGTGCTACTTCGCTTCATGTCCCATGGATTTGCATCATGTTTTAAAGATTACATGGAGTTTTGTATCGATAGAAGTTAATCTTAGTTGGTTGCATGCAACACATTCAATGACGCTCATTTACTGTTTGCACAAATAAACGAAGAGACACTTGTTATAGAATGATCGATCATTCACTACAAGATAATTGAGCTATTGCCACCAAATTATTACAATAAAAAATAATTCGTAGCAATATATTATACTATTGCAATGATAATTTTTCTGTGGCAAATAATTATTTTTTATTGCAATGATCTACAATCGTTGTTTCATTTAGTACTTTTGTTGCAATAGAAAATGAGATATCGCCACAAAAAATCGTACTGTTGCAAAAAAACATGTTCTATCGCCACAATTTTAATTTTTATGGCAATTTATATAGTACATGGTATTTTTCACTATTTTTTTGTTGCCACGATCAACAAATTCGTTGCAACAAAAAAATTGTCGTCTCATAATTTAACTTAATTTTTTCATATGGACACAGATTGAGACAAATTTTATATGGAAATTATAGCTCTCGACGAGATCTACAATTTTATAGGTGATAACTTTTTTATTTGAAATCTTTTAGATATTCAAATCTATGATTCAAATCTCAGTTAGCTAGGCTCAAATGGAACGATATACATTTTCCAACAGAATTGATGCGTAGGTGAGTTGGTAAAGGAGAGCACACGTGAAGGATAGGTCTTGGGTTCGAATCCTAGCCAAGACACAAAATCAAAAAAAATAAGTAGATAAATAGATAGGATGATAGATTAATATTTGAACTTTTAATTTGGTACGTAAAACTAATGCCACATATGGAGTGGTGGCAATAAATTTTGTTGCAACGATGTGAAGTGTTGCAATATGACTTTTTGCCACATCCATTCCGTGGCAACATCTAAATTTATTACCACAAAATAAAAATCGTTGTAATAACCTATTACCACGCTGTTTATTACCACGGCTAGCAACGATTTTACAATTGTGGCAACATGTATCTATTGCCATAATTTTAGTATTGATGCCACAATTTTTTTCGTGGCAACAAATGATTTTTCTAGTAATGATTTCGGGAAGACCTCAAAAATGATGATCAGACTGAGATGGAGGGAGTATAATCAATACTGATATCCATAGTACTCATACCAAAAACATGCACCACCACACAAGAAAAATGTGCACCAATAATTTTCAGAGGCCATCATCAATCAGTTGGGATTAATTTAGACATGCAAGTCAATGTATTATCAGTAAACCAACAAACCATAAATTAAATGAACATATGCATATCATGTGACCTGCATGCATATGTCAAGCCAAGCTACCAATACACAATGCATGCCATATAGCAAGCCACAGCAACAAGCTAGTGTGGGCAAAAATCACAGCACAGCAATGCTAGCTCTCATGAAGTTACAAGTTACATAGGTGCACAGTCACACAGTCTCCTTTTGTCCCCAGCAACTGCAATCCTGGCTTTTGCCACAGTGAGAGGCAAGAGCACAGCACACAGTACCCACCCTGACATGGAGATATCTCCTCTCCTTCTTCCTCCACACCCCCAGCCTCCCTCTCAAAAAGATAAGAGATGAGCAAGATTACAAAAGGAAAAACCAGCAAGAAACAAAAGCTCATCACCTTCCTTCCTTTCTTCAGACAGCCACAGTAGCATCAGCAGCACACACTACTACACTAGCATAGCACTGCCTCCATGCATGCATGCATGCACTCATGTGTCATGAGAGCTCACTGCATGCCACTCTGTGGCACTGCACCCCACAAGCAAGCTAAGCAATGATTGGTTGGTCCCTCTCTCTCTCTCTCTCTCTCTCTCTCTCTCTCTCTCTCTTCTCTACATTCAAAGTTTCAAAGAGACATGCTGCCTAGATCATTCAAGCTAGCCAAGCTGACCCCAAACATTCACAGGACAGGGAGCTACAATGTACATGCAGCAATGCAGGCATTGACAAACATCTTTGTCTGTTGTATCATGGACTTGTCATGCATGCATGTCAACAATGACCTGATTGATGTATGTATATATCATATCATAAATGGAATGCAACAGATGTTGTTTTTAAGCCTGTGATCATTGCCATATATATATATATTTGACTACCAATATTTGATACATTTATATTGTGCTTAATTAGTTGGGTAAGTCTGCAAACCTTGCATATATTGGGGATGCTGACATTGTTATTCAGTGGCTGGGTTTGCATTGGCTTTGGAACAGCTTTTGGTGAAAGCTCAAGCAAACCCTAATGGTAATATATATCCTACTTAATCATATATGGCATATCAATTGGCAATATTGGTATCACCATGAAGAGCCATATATATATGGAGATGGCAACTAATTAGCACACAAAAACTAAGTAAAACATGGCAAGCAAAATACGTAGTATAGTATACCAAGCAAACTGATAGCTATGTTGAGCTATGGCCGCCGGCTAGGCTGCAGCTTGCATGTTCATGTCGGAGACGACGCGCCTCCTCTTCGGCCGGTCGCCGGCGGCGGCGCCCGGCCGCTCCACAAGAGCCCTCAGGGCTTCCTTTAGGAAGTCGCCGCCGTCGTTGGAGACGGCCGAGTAACCGGCGCGGTCGTCGTCGCCGTCGCCGCCCTCGCCGGCGCCGCCGGCGTCGCGCGCCAGGACGAGCACGTTGCGGACGCGGCCGCCGAGGGTGGCCATCTCGGCGCGGAGCGTGCGGAGGCGGAGCGCGCGCAGCGTCTCGATGAGCTCCGGGAGGAGGTCGCAGCGGTCGTCGCAGCAGACGGAGGCCTCGAACACCGCCGCCGCGCCGCCGGCGCCGCCGACGCCGCCGCCGCCCGACGCGAGCACCACGATCTCGTCGTGCTCCGTCGGGAACAGGTGCGCCGGCGCCGCCTCGCCGATGCCGGCCATCCGCTGCTTCAGGTCGCGCACCCTCTCCACCGCCTTCGCCAGCAGCGACGCCTTGTCTATCTGCACATCACATCATCTAAACTCCATCAAGAAGCCATATATTTTTCAGACCTCATCAAGCTCAAATCTCAAAACACAATCAAACCCTATACCCAGTTAGGGTCTAATCATACATAAAGACGATTGAATTAACAAAAAATTATGTGAATGATTAGTACTAGAATTCTAGAAAACATGGTACTAGGCACAAAAGAAGAATGCATGGGGACACAATAGCCACAAATCATGAGAAGAACAAGATAAACAAGAAGCCCTAATCTATGGTAGTAGTAGCTAGTGTCATGCACTCATGCATGCTATACTCAGCTTTAATCACAACGATTAGCTGCGTGCTGGCTCTACGCATATGCATGCTTAGCATCTAGCTACCGGAAGAAGCTAGATGCCAATCTGCCAATCCAATTCAAATGGTATTCAATTATTCTTGAACCACGCAGTTCCTTTGTTTTGAATTGATCTAAAATTTGGTAGAAGAGTATCAGTTTTTGCAGAAAATTCAGGGGAAAATAGTTGGTGGTATATGCGTGTATTGCCTTGGGGTCGCATGCGAGGACGGCGCGGAGGCGGTCGAGGTGCGACTTGATCCGCTCGCGGCGGCGCTTCTCGGCCTCGCGGTGGTTGCGCGACGCCGCCAGCGCGCGGTCCTGCGCCGCCGCCGCCGCCGCCGCCGCCTCTTCCTCCGCCGACGCGGCGACATCCACGACCCCCGCCGCCGCCGGCCAGATCCCCGAGTCCATGAAGAAGGGCGGCAGCATCATCGGCACCACCGCCTCCCCTTGCATCCTCCCCGCCGCCGCCGCCGCCGCCGCCACCTCCACCGGAAACATGCACACCACACACTACTGCACGCACTCGATCTCACGTGTAGCTCGATCGATCGATCGATCGCTGGCTAGCTGCCGCTGCAGCTGCTGGGAGAGGAAGCTTGAAGCTAGTTGGTGATCGTAGCTAGGGCACAAGAGATCGAGCAGGAGATCGATCGATCAACGGCGAGGAGGAGGAAGGCGAGGGCGAGATGAGGTTTGTGGGGGGAAGAAGAGAATGGCGGAGGAGGCGAATAAATAACCAATGCGAGATGAGAGAGAGAGAGAGAGAAAGAGAATGTGAGATGAGAGAGAAAGTGGGAGTGTGGCTGGGTGGTGGGGCCCACGTGTTGACTCGTCATCGAGAGGAGAGAGAGAGAACGAGTCCTCTGTGGTAGGGGAAGTGTGTGTGAGAGGGAGAGTGGGGGTCGTCCGATGCGGGGCGGATGGACGGCTGGGATAGTGCCGACCTGCTGCACGGTCGCCATCGGAGGAGATAGTGTGGTGGCGGTGGCTGGATCGAGCTTTGCTTGACTCTCAGTGAAATCTCTTTGGGGAATGTTTGCTCGATCATGTGTTGCTGTGCTGATAGCTAGGCACCTCATTTTATTTTGGATAAAAACAAATTGCATCAGAAGTATGTGCAGCTACTCCAGCGATCGAGTCCTAAACGAGAATAAAAATATATATTTCAAGTTGTCTGATATTTCTTTTTTTAAAAAAAATCATACTCCCTCATTCCCTAAATGTTTGACGCTATTGACTTTTTTAAATATGTTTGACCGTTCGTCTTATTCAAAAACTTTTATGAAATGTGTAAAACTATATATATACATAAAAGTATATTTAACAATAAATCAAATGATAGGAAAAGAATTAATAATTACTTAAATTTTTTGAATAAGATGAACGGTCAAACATTTTTAAAAAAGTCAACAGCGTCAAACATTTTGTGATGAGGGAGTACCAGAAACCATGCAATAGAGAACTGAGATTTATTTTTTTTAAAAAAAAACATACTAGTATACTTATAGGGTAGGGTTTGCGTGCGTGCGTTCATAGGTGAGTGTGTGTTGTGAGTGTCTGCATTGTACTGTGTAATTTTTTTAAAAAAATATATCTCTTGAACATATACATGCACATCTTAATTATACAAGCACCCTATGAGAAACTAGACGGACATATCTTGATCGTTTAACGGAATAGCCAAATTAAGACAACACGATGTTAGCATGCCACCTACCACTATAACTAGCCTAAATAAAAACGTTTATGCTAAATCATAGAATCAAATCCGCTGAATATGTTTCATCGTAAGAAACCTAACCACATGAGCTTATCCTAGGGACCGTGATTTCAATCTCTCTTGGATAGTGGTTAGATATAAGAGCACAAAGCTGTCACAAAGATATTTTGGGATCAGCTCATGGATGTCAATTTGGTGAGAAAGATATCGAAGTGCTCACTTGGAGATTGCCTACAGCGACATGTAAAGAGTTGCCAGTGCTGCTGCATTTTTGGAAACGGAGGAATATATATGCCGGAAGATGAAAGAGGGCAATTGGGTGTCATTATCATGGAATCACTATTGCAATGCCCTAGAATTGTGAGAGACGTCCATGAGTTGGGTGCTTGGTTGACTACATGACCTATCATCTATTCATGCCGTTTTGGGTAAATAAGTAACAAAAACCTTATCTGCATAGTCTCTCCGTACCATAAAAAATAAATCTAAAATCGGATGTAACATATTCTAATAATACGAATCTGGGCATATATATGTCTAGATTCATAGTGCTAAGATGTGTCACATCCGATATTATGTTGGTTTTTTATGGGACGAAGGGAGTATATGGATATGATTCTATAAATTATAATTAAAAAAAGTAACAAAGACATGTACGGTAAACGGGTAATGAGCACTATAATTATACTAACATGTTGATAGGATAATCTATAATTTTTATTTAAAAAAAGTTGGACATTTTTACTGGCAACCATGTTACTCCATTCATTTCAGAATGTAAGATGTTTTGATTTTATCCTAAGTCAAATATCTTCCGATTTGACTAAATTTATTAAAAGGAAACATGCAACATGTTTAACACCAAATAAATATGTTATAAAAAATATGTTTAATGGTGAATTTAATAAAATTAATTTGGCATTGTAGATATTACTATATTTTTCTATAAATTTTGTTAAACTTAATTGTAGATAAAACTATATTTTTCTATAGGACAAAACCATGTTACATTCTAAAATGGACGGAGTTTTTCTTTTTTTATATATTTTCTGCTTCTTTGAACAAACTAAACCTATGAGTAAGCACAATAATACTTTACAATGAAGCGTATTAAGAATTCCTTAGCCAAATTATTTCAATAATATATAAGTTATTCCTTCTCACTATGATGAGGAGAACAAAATTAAGTATATACTCCAAAGAAAAAGAAGGGTAGAAAAAATTAGAAGAAAACAACACATAAAAGAAAAAGGAGGGTACAAATTTCTGCCGAAATGAAAACACAGAGCATTCAAAAAATATTTTTATGGCAAGTTTAATGTAAAAAAAAGTTCCTGTTGATTATAGTTAATATCATGCCCTGGGGTGAGAATGAGTAATCATCATTGTAGCAGGCACGATGCGCTGCTCTACTTGGTGGCCTGTGCAATTATGTTCCTCAATGAGCTTGCCTCTTCCTTTGCTGCTTCCACCAAGTTGTCCTGCAAACACACCAGTTTATATTCCACAATGTCATCATAGATCAGCCAAATGCTCACCATTGATCAGTAGTGCATTTCACATGAGCACATGACCATGCTTGTATATCACTTTTTGTTGTTACTCCTAGAAACTCAGATAAAAAGTTTCAGAAAGAAAAGGAATTCAGATAAGTTCAGTGGAACCAAAAGTTTCAGAAAGAAAAGGAATTCAGATAAGTTCAGTGGAACCAAAAGGACTATCACAAGGAATTCATTTCTTGTCAATTCATTAGGATGTGTATACAGTCTGTCAAGGTAGAATACTCTACATATTCCTCCTTTTTGTGTGTGTTTGTTCTCTAACTACTAGTCCCTGTTTGTGGAAGGTACCTATGGGAGTTGAATATCTGAATTGGTTCGTGTGAAATTCCTACATTTTGAATGTGGCCTATCTCCATTTCAATTGATACAATACCTGTGTAGTGATCAGGCGTAGTACTGCTTTCTTGTTCGATTCTTGAAGCTCACCGGCAATCAGAACCTCATCCAATATAAAGTATGCCTGTAAATATAGACAGAAGCACAGAAAAGACAGCAGGTTTAGCAATTTGACAGGCATGGTCAATAGATATAAGTAATCATTTGAACAAACGAAGTAGGTACCTTGTGGAAGTTGAATATCAGGTCAAGCTCGCAGACCTGCAACATGGCAAACACAGAAGAATGTAGAATAAGCAAAGAAGTTTCAGAATGCCTGGTAGCACAACAAATTGGGAGAATATCATGTTAAAGGTGTTTCTGTGTGAGCTTACATTGCCAAAATATCGGTCCAATATCTCAACAAAATGATGGATGATTTGAAGAGTCTCCAGTTCATTATCAGCAGCATCAATGCACATGCAGAAGTAAAGGCTTGCATACCTGCAGACGGTGCGAAACAGCTTGATGCAATCAGAAATATCAAAAATATTTCTTTACAGATGAACTGACATTTGCATGTGATTTAGCACTTTAGCTGCTAACAGTGCTCGCCAACAATCACATAATAACATTGCAGGTATAATCACAACTCGGGAGTACCTTTTGTATACAACTCTGTATCCGTGCCAATCGACAAAATTGCACATCTTTGGACCTCTTGTCAGGACGAGCGTACTTACTTCTTTGATAACCTTATCATCGAAAATAAATTATCTTGCTGATATTTTTACCCAGCGGAAAGAATGATGGATTAGGATTACAGTAAACATGTACTGATATGTGTTAACCTGTCATTTCTTACCTTGGATCTTTCCTTCTGAGGATATGGATTGTACCATTTGGTCAGCCTCACCTTCCCTTGTCTGCTGATGAGGAGCACAAAATGTATCTGACAACACAACAAATGGCGATGTCATATGGAATCCTCTTGTCTGCTCTCCAGCATCAAAAGAATCATCAAAAACTAATGCTGAACCAAAGTTCAATTCGAGGATCACACCACTACTAATGATGATATGGTGCACATCAAGACAAGCTAATGGTATGATAATGTTATCAAGGCAAGCTAATGGTATGGCCACGGATATATGATCCCAAGTTCCCAGCTGCATCCAACTGTACGGCATTTGTTTATGTAATCCCAAATCATGCAATCTGACGCACATTTGGGCGAAATTCTAGCCCTAGCCCAAATCAATCTAACTGTAATAATTCAGGAATGGGCTACGGATCATGAACGAGTGGACGAACTTCCCTCACATTAAATTGCCATCGAAAACTGTTGGGAAAAAAATTTCAGGAACAGAAGAAGGAAAAAAACAGAGAGAGACCATTGATATTCGAGAATAGAGACGAGAAGAATCAACCAAATGTAGGAGGGAAGAGAATCGGATCACGACCGGATTACCATGACGAGCGACGGCGGTGGCGCTGGTTAGCTCCGGTTTCGAAGGCTCGCCGGCGGTGGAGACGATCTCGGCCGAGAGGAGATTTTTTTTTCCCCTGAGAGAGAGAGATGCGTAGTAGAGGACAGAGGAGTTGAGGTCGGATGATACTAGTCATCGGGCCCCCGATTATTCTTTTGCATGGGTTGCCTTTTCTTTCTTCCGTGCATACGTGCATGCCGTGTAACCAATCCCTCTCTCTCGGTTTGTTCTCTATTCTCTTCTCATACATGCAACTATTTTCCTGGGTTCTCTCTTCTCTCTCTATCTCTAGTACTCTCAAGCTTTAAATATATATTTTTTAAAATAATTATCCAATCTTTAATTACATCATTATATTTATTATATAATTAAATGATATCTCATATAATTATATTTTGATAAAAAATATATACGATTATATTTCTACTTGAAACAATTTTATATAACACATGAAGCATGAACAACACCAAATATTCGCTAAAACATCTAATGAACATGACGCTAAGTTTGCAAAGAACTAATGAAATATCAGAAAATATTTATTGAAAACATCCAGATGACACCATGCACAACATTGAAAAAAAATACATATTGCAATATTAAAAACTAAAAATGTACAACATAGTTTGGTTACGGTTGAAACATTAAATTTCAATGGTTGAAACATATATATTTTTATTAGAATATAATCATACGATATGTTGTTGTAAAAATTTAATTGTAACAAATATTACAATGTAAACGTAATATAAATTGGATAAGTAGTTTAGAAAAAAATTGTTTCAAACGTTAAAAATAAAGTAGATAAGAGGAGCGAAAATCTTCTCTATGTAGTGGAGCATGACGTTGGAGGGCTCCATATAACGCTGCATGGTCGACCGTCCGATCAGAAGTAGATCAAGTAAATCTCGGTTGGGGTCTCCGCGAACTGTTTCGTTTTATTTCTCTCTGTTTTTTCCTTTTTCTATTTTGGGCTCCCGCATCTTGGGGGCCCACGGCCCACGAACGGGATCTGCATTTCGTCCCAATACTTATACAATTACAAAAATAAAAAAGTTATTTTCCGCACGGATTCTACTACTGCTTTCACAATTGGGACCCATATGCCTGTCACTACATGCAAGTCTGCAAGACTGCAACTGCAGTGCATTATGCATGTACGTAAACAGCATGAAACAGATCACTGTTGACAAGAAATTAAAAACACTATAATCGATGCCTTCCAATTTTGATGGCATGATAGATATGCGAATCACTCGATATTGCAAGTGAGAGGTGTGTTTTCTCAGGTATCCGTATTTACAAATTACAACAGACAACAAACAGAAACATTCTCTACCCTGAATATCATGATTTTTTTTTCCGGGCCAAGTGTACGAATGAGAAAAACTGTTGCATTTACAACAATATCATGATCTTCACGTCTTCAGAAACGAACAACACTCCCCAGAATAACATGATCTTCAGAAATGAACAACATTCCCCAGTGAAAGAGACAGTATGGATATATTTCAAGTGAAACATGACCTGGCATATTTCAAGTTAGCAGTCAACCATATATTTCTCGAGATGCTTTGACATCAGTCGCCTTTTGGTATTTGGAAAGAGAAAAATGGATATATGGCACTCCACACTCCAAAGGTTGCCAGCGATAAGCATCAGCATGAGCGCACCACAGATGAGTCCCATTATCACACATGCTCTTGAAAACTGTTGCAGAAAGAGGATACTGGATCCCTGGTAAGTATGTATCAGTAAGAATTGGTCAGTTTCTTATGTGATGGTAGCTAAGCAACAGATCTGAATCATCAAATTTCTTGGCTCATGTCAAATGCTTGCGGTTGTTGGAATGATGGCATCTTGATTTTGCGGAATGAGGCACATCGATCTTTCTTCAGAGGAATCAGTTTACCAGAATATAGACTGCCAATGACCCAGCTCGCCGGCTGCAAAGAAAATTCGAGAATAATAAGCACTGAAACATGTATGAAGAAAATAACAATTAATGTCAAAAAAAGAAATGTTCCTGCTTTCTATGATGTGAATCAAACGCTTCTTTTTTGGACAGTACGAAAGCAAGCCTTCCAGATAATGATCATTGTATTAGATACAAGACCAAGAAGAAACAGCACAAATGACTGGCAGGCGGTACACAGTGGATTAAAGATGGCTGATGAGCTACTTTTGGTATATTTTTCCCATTCAGTTAGCATGCAGATATTTGGAGAAGATTAAAGATGTCTAAGCTACCAAGTCGTATCTGTTTAATGCTCGAATCTTATATCGGGATTGGAAGCGCTACATTCAAAATTCAACGAACCGCTGTTTTTATGTCATGCTCAAGCCCACAATAGCTTAGATGGCGTGATGCGCTCGCCTCACTTGCTACGAGAATGATTCCATGTGAAGAGCTTCTATCCTTCAAGCTTTGAACTAATCCCTGAAGAGATGCAAAAACTTGGCCACCTCCATGCTGTGAAACACATCGTGGAGATAATGATTCAGGTAATGGCTAACAACATATCAGTTATAATTCACATAAGTAAATCATCAATCACAGACTAGTTTATTATTGTGTCTGTTGTTGCAAGTTGCGACATACCTTGATAACGTTGGAAAATTTGGAACAGAAGCTGATTTTTCCAAGGATTAAGAATCCTACCCCATCAAATAACAATGTATTCTTTCTTAGGTGCAGTGACTGGTCAAACATTGAAATACCCTGCATTGAATGCACTTGTCGAATAAAATACCTAGAAAAATGATATGACAAGAAAAGAAGTGAGCATCAAGAATGAAAAGCATTAACATATTTCACATAAGCAATACAACAAGATTGTTTGACGAATTATTAGTTTTTCCAAAGAAATATAGCACAGATGTTCACAAAAAGTGTGTTGACTATGTTTGACAATATAGCCGAACGTTTGGACTTTGATGAAAGAGTATCGTATGGACATACTGTAGCTGATTTAAAATAATAGTCTTGGCTATGCATGTGTGTATAATTAGTCTCTTACAATTTGCATATGCTTAATCATGTCAGCATTATAAAGCCCTTTCAAAAGATGACCTTTTAGGTAGTCTATCTCCTCAAATAAAAAGTTAGATATACTTCTGACGGTTGGCACAACAATTGAGGACATAAACAAGAAAATATTTTCAACCTTCTACAATATCTTAGTGACAAATTTATAAATTATAATAGACTGAATCATGCAGTTTCTTAATAATTCTAGAATCCATAGATACTTCAGAGAATCACTGATACAATGGCACATCATACAGAAATACCATAACCGACAACTTTTCCTTGATTACTTCATAATATATATGCAACATTGAACTTTATCAAGAAAGACATAAATGCCAATTCAAATTACATTTTCAGAGGATAGGCATCATGAAACGTGTGAATATAAGCATATGATAATATGAGTGGATGCTAGATCACCATACTTTCCAGGTGGCAACATGACACCAGCTTGAATAGAATCAAAAAGCCAACTGGGATTCAAAATCCAGGAGTTGATAGCACAGCCATATAAGAACTTAGCCGTTGATACCTGTCACAACAAATACTTGAGACGTAAGTGCAAAATATTGTCAAAATATGAAATGGTAATTTTTGGAATACATGAGAGCATATTATCATTTGTAACCAATAAACTGTACCAAACACAAAGAAAAAATGAAATGGATTAGCAAACCTTTTTAGGAGAAAGAACAATGGGAGGCTTGCACCTAGCAAGCTCTGCCAGCTTGCTTCTTTTATCAAGTGGACAGGATGGCACTCTAGAAAGAACATAGCCTCCAAATTTTCGGATCAATGGCTCAATTTCCTTTTCCTTGTGACTCTGAAATCCAGTCAACAAAAAATCCAGTCCATGAAATAGGGCTTCTTTATTATCAATGTACTCCCTGGGTTCGATTGTGTCAATGAGTCTGCTATCTGACCCTGAAATACTAAACTGTAAGGATCGCCGAAAGGACTAATGATATTTAAAAATTATTCAAAATGAGCCAGAGTACGTCTTTGATATTGCATGATGATGGATAAGGGAAAACTTACAGCTGAATCGAGATTTAGTCTGCGTCCTTCTAATATTCTTGGTTTTCCTGGTACTAATTTTAGCTTCTGAAAATTGGGCTTTCTTTCTTTTAAGACTCTTCATACTGTTTTGATGCTCACTGACCCCCTGAGCATAAGATGGATTCTTTAGAACCTTAGAAAATTCGTGCAAATTTCCAGCTTCAAAATTATTTTCTACACATACTTTAGAGGCTTGCACACGTCGTATCTTTTTATTTAAAGTTACTGCTGCAAAACTTCCCTGCTGACAAACTGCCTCATCAACATCATTATGAGGTTCAGTACTTTTTGATACATATGGTCTGGGTGCTATTGTGCTAAAAGGTCTGAGAGAACTGTATTTCCTTCGCCTGAGCAGAATATTAGATACTGGTGTGCAAGATGGACCAGCTTCTCCCTCCAGATCTTGCTTTGATGGAAATTCTTTGGTGCTGATCAATTCTTTATCCCCTTTACTCTGTATGCATTCAGGGGCCTGACTAGGGGGGCCTTCGTTGAAAGATATACTACATGGAACAATGGAACAAAGAGGATCCACAAGTGACAAGTTTGAACATACAACTTGAGAGCACAACTGTGCAGCTTCAGCACCTTGGTTTTCCTCACAAGAACCTTTAATTTTGTGGAGAAAAGAAGCTCTTGAAGATGCAGCCATTTCCATGGAAGCAATTCTAGATGGAGAAGGGAACTCATCCATGCCATCCATTGACTCAGAAATGAAGCTAGTTTCTTTATTGAATAATCCCTTTACATGCTTCCTTGTACCAACATTTGTCTGCACAGCAACTACTCCACCTTCCTGGAAAGAAAATTTACATTGTAATGTAGCAGATAAGTGAAGTTTATTTGAAACAAAACATTCGATGATAAAGCATTTGATTGGCAACAAAGATACCTTATTGTGACTTGCTAAAGAATCAGATACATGGTCATTAGTATCAGCATCATGGCTGTTCCATCTAATATTTTGCTTCTCAGGAGAGCTCTCTAATACGTGAGCTTCTGCATCACAAGGGTGAGAACTAGCGTGAGAGATTTCCTGTTTCAGGCCACTTATGTTCTGACCTTGAGATGCACAAGCAGTTTGAACAAGAGATAGGCCAACATCTTGAAATGCATCGAGCATTTCAGTCTCATCTAATTCTGAAAGCCTATCAGTCTCATCCAGATCACTTTCAGAGGATCCACAAGAATGTTCTAGCTCCTCAAGAAAACACTGTTTCCGAGCTTCTTTCACATGTAGAGCAGCTTCTAAGGAAGCTGTAGCTAGTTTATCAGACTGAGAATCAAGAAGTATCATTTCCGCAATAACCATGGCTTCAGAGGCAGCGATTGATAGTTCAACTGCATCATTCACATCCGCGCTACGGAGTTTCCGAACATCAACCTTTCGTCCAGACAGTTGCTGTCTTCTATGTCCTTTTGAATCACATGTTTTATTGATTTCCTCGCTAGACATTTTACAAATTTCTCGAAGGTCTTTGGCTTCCGATTGATTTTGCGGCACTGTCTTGATCTCTTGTGCTTGGTCATCAATACAAAAGCCACCTAACACATCTTTGCATGTAACAGAGTTTAGACCATTGGCTTGAGTTGAGGATAGTTTTGAAGTACTTTCTGAAGAAAGATGCAGAGAGAAAGGCACTACCTGTAGAGTGTAGAGAGCAAATATTCAATGTGTTATGACTTAATATAAGAATAAGAATATTTGACAATGAATACAATTACACAAAAGGATGTCTAACAGCATGACAAAGTTACAATATTCAGGAGACATTAGCATAGTACATTGAATGCAAAGATGTATATACAGTATATATGGCTACATGCATCATTTGAACAAATTAGGTTAATGACAGGAAACAATTTGTAACTTCTGTCCTTGCAAAGGAAACATGAGTTTTACTAGTTTCTTAGTAGACAACCTTGTTGCTTACAATTAAGCTCTTCTAGAACACTTTCATGTCCATGGTGATTTGCATCCAGAATTTAGGCAGTCCCAGTAAGGAATATCATTCCTAAAACTTACATTGCCATTGCTAGGAGTAGTTCCAGTAGGCGTGCCCTCATCCCCCGACAAGTGCAAGCTAAACCCACTGCAACTAGCAGCATTCACCATGGTGTTCAGACAACTATGTTGCTCTTGTGCAGGGCCTCCGATAAACGCGCAATTCTGCAACTCAAGAAAGAACATCAGTCATTGGATCATAGCCAGCTGCACACCAAGAAACATGGGTATATACATCAGATATTCAGATCGGATTCAGCACATCTCGTTTCCTACTAATTATTATTGGCTTGTGGTGCCCAGGCAAGATGGCATTACTAAAATAGAAACAAAGCATGAACTAAAACCCCACCAGATTGTTGCTACTAACCAAAGAGAAAAAGGACCTCACCACACAAGACGGCGACGAAACGGCGGCGCTGTCCTTCCCGTGCTCGCCAACCGCCAGCGGCCGATGCGGCTGTAGCCATTGAGGGAGAAAGGCAATGTCCTGAACAAATCAACGCGACTCCACTAGGTTATTCGAAGAGGAGGAGGAGAAGGAAGCATCCCACCCAGTTCGTTCCTTATACAGACCAACGCACTCAGCCGCTCCGACCACAAATGCAGCGGCGCGCGCGCGAGACCGGGGGAGGGAGAATGGGGGAGAGCTGGGAGGAGGGGCGCGGTTACCTCGGAGAAGCGCGGGGAGTGGTAGCCGCAGGCCGACATGGCGGCGGGAAGTCGCCGGCTCGCCGCCGCCGCCGCCGCCACGGGGAGGAGGGGATGGGGGCGCGACGCTCTTCCTCCCCCTCTTTCTTTTGTTTTTCTTTAATTTATTTAATCCGAAAATTAAGGATTCGCGCCAGAAATCACAGCGAAGGCGGGCAGCCGGGCATTTCGGGGAGGGATTCCACAGCGCTGGCTGACAGGTGGGCCCCATTGTTGTAAGTTGTCGCATCCGAACTTCTTACGGTGCAGGTGCAAATTTATCGACCGTCTGTTCTATTTGAAATTTTGTGATTGGAATTCTTTTTTTATTTAATAGGCGATAAAACATAAATAGTAATTTATGCGTGACTTATTTTTTAAATTTGTTTTATAAATTTTTCAAATAAGACGAACGATTAAATTTTGGGCACATAAACCCGTAACTGCGTTTAAAATGGGCCAGAGAGAGCAGTTTACTAGGTCTACCATTTTTAACCACACAAGGAAATTTGGCAATTTCTTTCTTCACATAAATTATGAATGTTATTATTACTTAGAACTGTACGCAATAACACCATATTTACATGGCCAATTATTTAGACAGAAGAGGGATTATATGATTCTTTACACGGTGCTACGCCCGAATTCCAACTCTCACGGTAAAAATCCTATGCCAAAATTGGTTATCACAGCCGAAACGTCCCAAAGTTACACGAAACATGGACACTGCTGCACCAAACAAGGTAAAAGGTAAAAACCACTCATTATCTGAAGGTAAAACGCTCTCCAGGATCACGAACTCTTCAGGTCCGAGAGTGCAGTCTTGGTGGCGGCGGAAATAACAGCGTCTGAAGCATTCGGCAGGTAATAGTATTTACCTGTAGAGATCGAGAAAGAGAGGTTTATATCAGGAGATTGGGCACAAACATTTGGCAGTATTTTGGTGCTTAGTGATTGATGTACATGGAAGATATCTCTTTGTGCGATGGCAACATTACAAGGTTGCTAGTCAAAAATAGGTGGCAAATTAGACTTATGATCTTAACTCATAAGTAATGGTGTAATAAGATGCAGAAAAGAAAGATAATGGTATTCCTACGGCAGATGGTGTATATGCCTCTAATTCCAAATGTAGGTCATTTTAGTTTTTTCAACTCTTTTCTAAATATATGTTGGTTTGAAACTTCTGCGTGTTTTTTTATTTCTTCCATGTTTGTCCTCACAAGATCGATAGTACCCCTCTGATAAATAAATAGATCCCTTTTTTTCCAATGTAGTATAAACGAAGGGCAACAAAGTTATTCAAGCTATTTTCTTAATTCATGTGTGCAAATCTATAACAACTTATATTTGAAACGAAGGCTACTAATTCAAGAGATATCACGCCGAGAGTACCTTGGGCGACCCTTGCAATTTCCTTGGCAAATCCTGTGGATACAAACTTGTTCTCGGTATCAATAACAAGAAGTGAAATTCCAGCCTTGTATATTTTGCCAGCCACCTCAAGTATCTCATCCTTGGAAAAGATAAATATATCGTATCAGCTTTAGAGTGATTGATACATGCTTTTAAGAATGCAACTTGGAAGTAGTTTACGTACATCATATCAGCTTCAGAGTGATGGTCACAGGTTTCCAGTTTAAATAAATACTTTTCATATCATTACTACCATGTGATATTAGATACGAGTTGTACCTTTAATTCTTGAGAAGAAGGTCTTGGAGCATCTGAAGTGGCTTCTGGGTCAGTCGATTTCTTCAGTGACACATTAGCTCTTCCATCGGTGATTGCAACAATCATGATACGTCCAACATCACCGCTCTTTTCAGCATTCAAACCCACTCTGACAGCCTTTGAGGTAAAAACCGAATTGTTAATCAATACATATGGGCTGTAACATATAGCTAGGTTCGAGAAAATGCTTAGTTCTTACTGTGCTAAGGCCGTGAGCTAAAGGAGAACCGCCACCACATGGTAGCTTCTCAAGACGATTGCGGGCCATTGCTATGGATCTTGAAGGTGGAAGAAGAACCTCAGCAAAATCTCCACGAAATGGAATGATTGAAACCTGAGATAGATGACAAAATATAAGGTAAGATTGGCCAGTATAAAAATCGATAGCATACAAGCTAGCCATATAACCATATACCTTTTACACATTGAAAGAAAAAAAGACACATCTCCAGGGGCAAGGGGAAGAACAACTGAAGGTGGCGTACAGGGTAACAACTAGTACCTGATCTCTGCTTGTGTAGCTTTCTGCAAGCAACTTTAATGCTGCACCTTTCGCATTCTGCATGCGATTCAGAGCCATGCTACCGCTAGCATCCACAACAAATATGACCTGTCAAAATGTAATTCCACAGAGCAGTTAACTCTTATGATCGGACAACAATGTTTACTTCATAACAAGGACAGAGCAAACAGATATTCTGATAATCTCAGAGGCTTGGAGAGAGAGAGAGAGAGAGAGAGAGAGAGAGATTTTTACCAGTGCGCCTGCTTTTCGAGCCATTCTTTTGGCTCTCATGTCAGTTTTTTCAACAAAAACCTTTCTTGTCTTGTCACGATCTTTCTCTCTCCTCAGTTTCTGGTATGGTGCAGCTGCTCGAAGTGTGGCATCAACAGCTAACCTCCTTATTGGACCCTACAACACAATTAACTGTTCAAATTGGAGCCTACTTGTGATAAAGGTGCCAAGCAATAGGATGGGAACGGCAGAATACAAGGCAACACAGCAGTATATGACTATTGTTTGATAGTATATCAGTAAATGACAGAACACAGCAGAAAGCATCAGAGGAAAATAGGCAAAATGATTATGCACACATTTCTAGATAGGAGAAACTCTAAAACACTACAGGCATTGAATTGAGAGGAAACAAGGATCTGGATTCAGGAATCTTGGTACAATAAAGTGATTAAGAAGTTTACCTTGGGAAGCATAGAACCTATGTATCGTCCCCTATCAGATGAGAATATGAGATTCTTTGCTCGTCCAGCTTTCCCTCGCCGTCTTTGAGCTTGCTGAGCAAAGAAAAGGAGCTTCTCATCTACTATACCACCTTCAGCATCAAAAATGAACTCCTCAGGTATCTGCTGGTCCTGCTGTTCATTTTCTTCATCATCGTCCTGTCCAAGAGTACAGCTAATGAGCTACGAGAAAACAAAATGAATAAGTTAGTTAAATGGTATATGTATTAACCTCTTGGTCCTCTTCCTCGTCTTCATCTTGATCTTCTTGAGAATCTTGATCTTGTGGAGGGGGTGGCGGTGGGGGTGGAGGAGGTTGTTGGTCTTGCTGCTCCTGTGGGTTATCAGATAGGATTGATCGAGGTAGAATAACTAGCTCTACCTGCAAGAAGGTGGCACACATGTCAAATGTCTTAACTTTATTCAGAATATACTGACATCATTACATTAATGCAAACAGCCAGCATGGCAGAAGAAAATTGTGAGCCATGCGAGGGCAAAATTTATTTTGCTGTGACTTTTATTACGTGCAAGTTTGCAGCTTTCTATTTTGTTCTTAACAACAAATCATGATGCATGTTTCCTTCGGTACATTTCAGTAAAGAGATGAAAAGGAATAGTTGTAAACAGGAAATTACAGGGGGTGTCTTACTGTATTAAATAATGAAGAATTCAAAGGCATAAGTATACTTAACAGCTTTCTTAAGGTCATCCACATATACTTTTTCACGCCCTTCCATAGCAGCAAGACATTTTGCCACTCGAGCAGCATACAGCTCAGCCCGGTGCCCCTGCAAATGAGTGTCAGTTTTATTTACATGAGAACACAGCCACTTTTTGAATTACATTAACCACAAAAAAGTAGCATCAGTGTCTCAAAAACCATGATTGCTTCAGGTATTACATTAACCACATGGTGCACAGCGGACAGGTATAATATCTAGACAAGCAGAAAATAATGCAAAGCCACATCGATTTCAGGGCATGATAAACACAACTAAAATGAAATCAATGGTTACAGCAGACAGTTTTTAGCCACCTCGCCACATGTTATGACCAGAATGCATGATCATGGGGTACAGACTACAGACCATTACAAGGACAGTGCAATATTCCAATCAAGCTCCTTACTCAGCTTAAGCCAAACAGAGCTAAAAAATTCTTTCACTGCAAAATAAACTAACCTGACAGCCACCGCGTATAGCTTCCATGACAAGATATTTGAGCTGCTCTGTGCTGATTGCAACATCTTTCAGATATTCTCTTGCCAAAATTATCTGTTAGACCATGTATTACCACCTGTGAGATGAACAGTGCATAATATTGTTTTCAACTAAACCTCCATCGTTGCTAGTTAAAGTCGCTCATGATTTTCCATAGTCTTCAATGTGGGACTTTGGCCACGTTATTTTTTCAATACTACATACTAGTAAAATAATAGAAGTCATAAACTGTGAAAGTATTGTCCAACAAAAATAGAATGGCATTATTTTGTGTGCCATCATATACCTTTTATACGTATTAAAGATTGATGTTTTGAATGTTGGACCAGATAAAATATGTTAAGTGGCAGAACAACACAGGGAATATAATGTAAATGTGGGTACATGCAGTTAATTCAGCATGAGTGGATGACGTTGGGATCTCAAAATACAGAACCATGAATAGCGTATATACTTTCGACTATGAAGGCAAGGGAAAAATCATATGTAAATGGCACAAGTTGTAATTAGGTGAGAAAGATCCAAAAATCAATGTATCAACTTGTCTGATGTGACCATTTGTTTATGAAGCATATTAATGAATCCACATATTTTGTGATACTGATTGATTAGATATCGCTGTTCTGAAGAAAGCTATTTGTGTGCAATACAAAAAAAAAAGCAAAAGCTAAATAGTTTCTACACCCTATTCTAGTTCAATAAAGGAGGTACTCTATCTTACAGGTTTACATCCCTAGTTTAACAGTATCGGTGGTACCTGGGTTTTTGCAACCTCAGTTTCTTCTTCCACCATTTTAAAAACCTCTTTGCTGGACTCTTGAAATTGTGTTGCAATATCCACAGCTGCCACACGATCATCAAAACTCATTGGCAGATCAGCGCTGCAACAAAACAACAAT